CCCAAAAAGAGTTATTTATGTATAGTATATATCTTAATATTCAAGAAAAATGACCGCATTTGCAACTAGTTATGTTATTTAGTTAAGCACTCGGAAGATGCTTTCATAGCTCTTACCAAGAATACGCAGTGCTAATTACTATTTGCTGCTGCCGCCTACATAGCAGCCCACGCAATCAGAAGCCGCCCAAGTTCTAAATAGCCTCTAAGCCCTATTCATTTGGATTAATGAGAAACACCGGACAATCACAATGGCAGCTGTTGCTGGGCAACTAGTAATGGGCATATTTGAGTTGTTGCCCAGTTCGTGGCAAAGTTAAAGGTCGGCTTTAAATGGATTAGCCGTGGCATTGGTAGGCTTTAAGTGAAGTGAATTGGAGTGATATTTACTAAAGGCAACAGTTACTTAAACATGCTCAGATTGTGATTGATTCAATTTTAGCAGTAATAAAAGCTGAAAAGTTTTCAATATTTTAGCCAATTGCAAAAGGAGCTCTTAGAGAAATACTAAACGTCATTTAATGCAATGATCTACATAGTTAATTTATTATAATATATTCTTTTTATATTTAAATAATTTAATACAATTTAGAAAATTGCTCTAGAACCAAAAACGCTCTCCAAAAAACAACCTGAAGACAAACTTGAACCAAAAACTGTATTTTCACACAATAAATAAAGTAATTTATATTTTAGATTTTTATTCAATCACTTAAGGAATTGTTAGAGCCTCGTAAAAACGATTATTTCTCAAAAATAAATCTTTAAAATTCGTTTAAATTGCCTTCACTTTTTGCTTGTTTGGAAGTAAATTTAAACAATGTGAAATTCTTTCAAATAAATAGTAAATAAACAATGCTTTATAGGAAAATAAAGATTCATTCAGCAAAGATATTTATACACGAAAACTTCGCAATTGTGTGAGAAGTGTGAAAATTGTAAAATTCGTGCCTAGAGCGCGATTCTCAGTTTAAAAAAGTTGCACAAAAGAGAAAAATGTGGCATGTGGCAAAAGGATTATGACACGTGCACGTAGCACACACATACACATGCACACAGCATGGCTGACGGCATTGCACGTAGCTGGCGGGTGTTTTTTATGGAGGCGTGGCATGCTATAAAGGCTGACTCCACGTGAGAGTGTGTGTTCGTGTGTGTGTGTGTGTGCGTGTCTGTGTGCTGGTATTAATTTCTAGCTGCTTGTTGATTCCTCTACACATTTTTGTTGCCTTGCTGTTGTCTTGGACGTGTGTTTTTGGTTTGTATTCATGTTGTGTGTATCTGTGTGTATCTGTGTGTGTATATGTGCTTGCCGTCGTCGTCGTTGTCCTGTTTTCATTATTAATATGCTGCCTGCTTTTCTTTACGACACTTTGCCACTTTTTTGTGTTTTGTCATCTCTTAGCCAAGTTTTTCGTTTCGTTTTGCGTGACACAAATTATTCTTGTTGACACATAAAAATTGTTAACCCTTTTTCCTCGCCTTTGTTGTTGTTGTAGCAACATGAGAAATGACAATAGATGATAAAATGCGTTTAGTTTTCTTTTTTTTTCAACATGCATATGTGTGTTAGACATTGATATATTTTAGCTCAAATCGTGCTGCAATTTGCGCAAGCTGACAAGAGTAAATAATAAATAAATATATAGATATTTTATTTTATTGTGCGCAGCTGTGCAAAATTTTCGACCACGCCCCCTGCTCCCGCTTTTATTGTGCAAATTATGCATTTTAATTGCATTTTAATTGTTTTTGTTTTGTATTCGGCCATAAATTGTTGTACATTATTCAGGCGCCGCACGTTTTTCCGACGCCTTTTTCCGAATATCTTTTTCGCCGCCCTTTTTTTCACGCTGCCTCATTTGGCTAATAGAGTTTTCAGCTGGCGCTAATGAAGCATAGTTTAGAGTTTGGCGGCAGTGGCAATTAGCCCAGCGGCGCCTTTTGTGCTGCTTCTGCCCCCGCCATCGCTCCCGCCCCTTGCGGGCATTAAAACTAATGGCAAACGGGGTCGGGGCGTGTGCCCTGCAGCAAATGGCCTGCCCACGGATATATCATTGGACCAACAAGCCAAACTGCCCAAATAGCCCAAAAGTCATGTATATATCAAATGCGAGCAACGCGAAGTAAAAAAAGTGTAACCAGCAGCAACAACAACGACGAAAAAATAAAAGTTTTTGGCTCGCATGTTGGCAAAACCTGCGGTCACAAAAGAGCTGTAAATTAAAATTTACTCGACATGAAATTGAAGCGCCGGCCTGCAGGGCTCCGACACTGAGCTCTGCTCTGTTCAGCTCTGTTTTCATTCATTTTCCTTTTTCATACTATTTTCTCTTTACTTTTTTTTGCCTTTTGTGGTTACTTTATTGTTGCGTTTGCTTTGCCATTTCCGGTTGACACCCGGCGGGGAACAGGGGCCAGGACAAGCCGTGGCGCCAGGCGCTGCACGGAATATCGAGCTGCATCACGAATATAAATCAGTTTAAAAATATGCAATTGCAATCTATATATTCTTTCAAAATCAAACAAAAATATATATCTAAATAATTTAAAAATATACAAAATACATATATACAAATCTTCTATTCTGAAATTTGCAAAATAGAGCAACAATCGCATTGTTAAACATTACCTGAACTCGTGAGAATCGCATAGAAAGGCGAATTTTAAGTCTCAGAGAGAGAGAGAGAGATAAAGAAAGGTCGAGAGAGAGCGTGAAAGAAAAAGAGAGGAACAATATAAATATACTTATGTACAAAAACAGTCTTATAATTATTAATGAAATTTATGATAATCGCATTTAAGATTATGAATTCAAATAGTTTTCGACGTTCAGCACAACTCAAGCTTCATTTTGAAGATTTAAATTAGCATTTAGGAAGCAGATTTTCCACCTTTCAAATTCGAAGACTTTTCAAAACTAACTTAAGCATTCCCGCAAATTTAGCACTGTCCAAAACAAATATCTGCTAAACTCATTAAAATCTGCATTGGTTGCGGAGTGCAACCAAAATTCATTCGCATAGCTCATCTGGAATTCGTGTCAGTCTGGCAACGCTCACTGCCGGGCAATTGGATTGCAACCGTTTTTATATGCATTTCGACTGTTCTGCGATTGCAGTTCGTTCATTTTGGGGGGTTTTCTGCGTTTCCTTTCAGTATTTTTTACTTCTTTTTAGCTTTTTTTTTAGCTTTTTGGCTGGCTGCGTTGCGGCTGCCGCCCAGGGGGCTCGTATTTTACGTGGTTAAAGTTTTACGCTACGCCAGCCAGACAGACAGATAGCCAGTCAGGCAGACAGACAGACAGACAATCGGGCAGAAAGACAAAGCAGATTTTGCCTGGGCATGCCGCACAGATTAAGCGCCCAGAAGTATGCAGCAAAGGCTGCAGCTTGTGCGTGGCTTAGGGCGCCACAGGAAAAATAAAAGAAAGCTTAACTGAAAAAAAAAAAGAACAAAATAAGGGAAAATGGAGAAATTTGTAAACCAATGCGACTGCATTTTGTTTCAATCAATTATCGCGCTTTTGTTGTTGTTGTTTATTTTTTGCTGTTTAGCCACAAAATTGCCGTTAAATGGCAATTTCCGCAGTCATTATTTAAAGTCAAAATAAGAAACAAAAAAAAACAAAATAAATGTAAAAAAAATTTTAGTCCAAACGAACGCAATTAAAAGCAGCCGCTACATTTGCCAACAACTGCCACGCCTCCCGCTGCACATGTTATTTATTTAAAAGCACACACAACTCTGGCTTTTTTATAGCTAATATTTATGTATATCAACTCGCGGGCTGCAGTTTATTTATCAAAGCGACGGACAGCTGTCGCTTGCCACGCCCAACTCCCCGCTCAACACGGATTAGATGGATTTATTGTGGCTCTGGCAAATAAATTGTGAAAACCTTTGTTTTAGTTATGCGTTTTGTTTTTTCCGTGTCTGCTAAGCCGCATTGTTTTGTTTACCATATACTAAATATTTTGTTAAGCTCTTTCAATATTTGCATAAAAAGTTATGTTTTGTTTGCATAACAAAATATTTGGTGTTGTCTCATAATAGGCGGAAGGCGTCAAGTGGCTTCATTTTTTTTAATACTATACAAATGGACTAATTGAGCGCGCTTTCATTCGTTCATTTTATTAACGTTTTGGCCATTTTGCACCTTTTCAATATTTAAATGTTCAAGGAAAACGGCAATGAAACAGTGGAAATGAAACGGCAGCACATGTCAGTGCTGTGCAACTTTAAAGGTATTTAAGAGATGTGGCAACACTCAATGAAGCAAACATCTTTTCGAGCTCTACAAAATCTAGTTGATATTTCATTAAAATAATTAAAAAGTGAACTCACCCACTTAAAATACTCCAAACTCGGCGTACTATCCATTTAACACAATTTTCCAATATGTTTTCAGTATATTACTCGCTTTTGAGCTTATCGGGAGTTCTGGTACACAACATTCATTATGTTAGCAGCTGCTAATTCCGGTCACATTCCACACGTTATTTGCATATAAGGGGGTTTAGTAAATGATATTTGCAGTCGGTCCAAGCTGACGGTCTGTCGACACGGATGACATGTTTCGAGTTAATTAAATCGATGTTTTGCTCTGCTTTGTTTGGATGCAACTATAACTGTGGACATGATGCGGGTTGTCGACTTATTGATTTCCCAAGGGTATCATAAAAAATTTGCCTTTGCCCGGCTCAAGTTTTGTATATGCAAAATCAATGAAACACGTCTTAAATGTACTGTGAAAATGAGTTTGCTGCCACCGAACTACAAAATAGTTGTATATACATAATTGTGTTCCGCGCACTTTACACAGTTGAAAATGGAATTATGTGGGCTCCTTCCTTTCTTCTCCAGAGGCAGCTGTGTCCGAGAATGTCTGCTTTTTATGTACATATGTATATAGATATATACTGCACAAGTTCAGAAATTATTCAGATATAAGCATTATTCATTTGGCAGCCTTAAATCTAATATGCGTATTTCAAGGAGTTTTTATGAGCTTTTAACTTTAGGTTAAAAATAAGATTTTATATTTTAAGTGTTTAAAGTAGGATTTTCAGAAATGTTGCGATTATAATAATCAAACCCACCTTGGGTTCTCTGAGCAACTATTACATATCTTTACAGCTAGAGTAATTCTCTTACATTTTGTTCAAGGATCTGCCATATATATGTATATGGTTGGCGATATAGTATTACTTTTACATAATGTGCAACAATCTTATGTTGACTTTTAACTTAATTTTTAATATTTCACTCAAAATGCATTCGCAAAAATAATGCAAAAATACTAGTACAAAAATAATTCAATAAACTTATAACTTTTTGGAATTATGTGATACGCCACGTTCTAGCGTGGACTTGATGCTTATTATGTAATTGTTTATATATGTAGGTTGACATAATCTGCAACGATCTGGCGTTGTCTTTTTTAACTCACATTGTAAAACGCATTTATTGAACAAAATTTTGATAAATGTAAACTGTGAATTCCTCTCACGGCGCATGCAATTATACAGTATAAGGCGATACATGTATGTATATATACATATATATATATATATATATGATATATAGTGCGGATATATGTACTTGATACATAAGTTGAACTCTAGTAGTGCTGCGCATTGTCCTGTATGGAGTGGCTGCAGCAGGGCTGCTCCTCTTCGTATTCGGCGTGCTGTGGCTGCTCCTCCCTGATGGCAATAGACGCCTCCAAAATATACTGTGGCTGCGGCGTTTGTCTGGGCATAAAACAATCCTGCTCCGCTTGTTCAGGCTCCTCCTCGTTGGCGGAATCTGGCGAGTAGAGTGGCGCAGCGCCCATTTCGCCGACATGGCCCACATACTCATTTTCGTCCGTGTCGCTGTCGTAGAGCTCGTCCTGCCCGCCCAGCTCGATCAGCACGCGGCGCAGATAGCGCAGCTCATCCTGTGCCCGTGATACTTTGCGCTCCAGCGCTTTCATTTCGGCCTGCGGTATGAGGGGGCAGCCGAGTGCGTGCAGAATTTCCATTAGCGGATCCGTTGGCAACGGATCTATATTCACTAATTGCTCCAGTATTTGCAGCAATCGCGGCAAAATGCCATTCTCGCTTAAATATTTTGTATATTGTTCTTCTTGAGCGGCCATTACTTCACAATTTACTTAAAAAAAAAATGCGTGCAAATAAAATTTTGAAGAACTGAAGATCACGTGATAGCGAAAATAACTGTAAAAGCCTAGGTACACCGTGGCGCCACCAGCGTATATTTATGGTACTAACACAAAAGGTGGCAGCACTCGCTAGCAAAATGTTGCCAGACTGCTTTATAGTTCATTTATGTTTTGGTTCATTAAAAACCTTTTAATTCTTGGGCGCAGCTACAATATACACGCGTTTTAGAAAATCTGGCTTTAAACTTAAATTCAGCTGTATTTGCGTAAATTATCAATAAACTAGAAACTCGTAACGAATAAAAATGAATAATAATATTCTGACTCAAATGTTGTGCTGAACTAGTTGAAAATTTGAAACCAAATGTAAAAAACTTATCGATAAATTTGTAAGTGTGCCCTTCTTGTTAATTGTGAAATTTTGTGCCGCCTTTAAGTTAACAATATAGCTCCGCATCCGTGGCAAAGAACAAATTTTCGGTTAAGAAGCAACTAAAAACGCTTTAAACGATGTCCTTTTCGTTCGGCACACCCACAACGAACACCGGCCTGGGCGCTGGTGCCACTGCTCCAGCAACAGGCGCTTTCAGTTTTGGCGCGCGTCCGGCCACAAGCGCCCCGCCGCCTGCGTTTGGAGCAGCCACGGCGACATCGAGTCTGGCCGGAGCAGCGGGTTCTGTGGTGGGCGCTGCCGCGCCGAATTTCAGTTTTGCGCCTGCAGCAGCTAGTGCCGCGCCAACGCTCAGTTTCGGGTCGCAAACTGCAGCGGCTCCAGCGGGTACGGGTCTATCGCTGCCCTCCTTTGGCAGTACCACAACTGCACCCGCCTTTGGTGCGGCTAGTGCAGCGCCAGCTTTTGGTGCAACCAACCCAGCGCCAGCTTTTGGTGCGGCCAATCCAGCGCCAGCATTTGGTGCGACCAGCGCAGCGCCCGCTTTTGGATCATTCAACACGGCGCCCGCTTTTGGAACAGCAACTGCAACACCCACAGTTGGCGCTCCCCCAGGTGCGTCAGCTTTTGGTGCGTCTGCAGCATCATCTGCTTTTGGGGCTGCTCCGACAGCAGCACCTGCCTTTGGCGCGCCCGCAGCTGCACCCGCCTTCGGGGCAGCAACCGCCACAGTGGCGCCCTCGTTCAACTTCTCGACGCCCACGACAAGCGCACCGACAACAGCACCGCCCGCCTTCGGGTCGACAGCCATGCCTGCCACGCTGGGCGCAGGCGTTGGCGCGTTCTCCTTTAACAAGCCGCAGGCCACAACCGCAGCCAGCCTGAACTTCAATACGACCACAACAACGGCCACAGCGCAACCTTTCAATGCGAATTTACGCTTAGGCGGGAGCAACACCTTTGCGCCTGCGGGTACCGGCGGCATCTTTGGTAAGCCACTGACGACGGGCGCACAACCAACCGCAGCGCCGCCTGTTTTTGTGGGCCTAGGCGGCATCGATGTGAGCGCCACGCAGCCCAAGCTGGGGGACAACAAGCAGGATGGGATTAAGGTAAGTATCGGTTAAAAAAGAATCCAAATCAGAAGACAGCTGCAGCACACGACAACTGTCATCTGTCATTACAGATCAAGGAGACCCAGGTGCCGGATGAGATAGTCAAGACTGTGGATGCGCTGAAGAGCTACATCAAGCAGCAAAAGACCATTTCCTCAGACATTGGACGCACCTCGACATCCAAGCTTAGCAATGTGAGTCACGAGATAACTAATCTGCGCTGGGTGCTGCAGAACGTGGCCAATTCGGTGGATGCCAACAATCGACACATCAAGCAGCTGCGCAGTGAAACGGCCAAGGCAATACAATCCCTGGAGATGGCGCAGCGCACGCAGGATACGCCCGCCGGACTGCAGTTCGAGAATAGCGCGCCCTTCCAGTACTTTCAGTGCCTGGTGGCGAAGTACGAGGAGGATCTGATTGCTTTCCGTCAGCAAATCCTCCTCACGGAAAGCCACATGCATGCGCTGGCCAATCCGCAAAGCATTTCGCCGGATGATCTGAAGCGCGGCTTTCGCCAGCTAAACGAGTCCTTCATATCGCTGGCCGGACGCCTACACGAGCTGCATCAACGTGTTGAGGAGCAGAAGGAGCACTATTTGAATTTGCGACGGTATCGCATGCGCGACGCCACCAATGTATTCGCCGAAATAGACAATCCGGCCGTGCAGCTATTGGAGCCGCAGCGCATCAGCAGCGGCCCGACGCCCTTCTCCAACATCTCGGCGATGAGCACGTTGAACAAGAGCTATGCAGCCGCTTCCGCGGCCACCGCCAGCAATGCGGCTGCCTCTAAATGATGGCTGGATTGGTACTCGAACGACATGTTTAGCCAGCACGTTTAGGTTTTAGTTGTTACGTTCAAATCGAGATGTCAATAAAGTTATTTTACAAAACTATATCATAAGGAGAATCAATTTATATGAGAAAATCTGGCAGTTATTGTAATTCACCCATTTTCCGCACGTGAAAACACTTGCTCATAACAATTTGAACCCTCATTTTCAATTGTTAGCGGGTTGATTTTTTTTAAATCGAGGATTATGCTCTCAAATACTTGGAAAATTGATAACCCCTCATCTCTTTTTTTATAAACCATGATGGGGACAGACCAGACTTGTGTTTCTCTAAAATTTTAAGAAACATACAGCTTTCCAATTTGGATTAGTTTGTTCCCTATTTGTTGTATATTAAACGAGAAGTCATCCAAAATGATGATCAAGAATCATTTAAATTGTTATAGGTAGCATAGAATATATATTTCAACTCGATTGATGCCAGGAACTGGCTTAACAGACGCAGCTGCGTTGCAACTTACTTCTTGACCACCTGAATGACATCCTCATCGGCCATGACATGGGCTATGCCCACGCGCTGTGGCGAGTATTTCGTCGACGTGCCCCAGACCAGCGCGTACTTGAATTGTGCGGCCAGCGTTCGATGGATGGCATGGCAGACATGCTCCACACTGACGCCCTGTGGGGACACATATAAGATTATAAATTATTTCATATAGATTTTGCCGTCTACTTGCCTTTCGCAGAATCAGGCCATCGTCAAAATCTGGCGGCGCACCGGGCTTTTTGGTGTACACCCTGATGAGCTGCAGGGCCTCCCAGAGCGCCTCCAGCATGTAGTCCAAATTAAGTTTCATATTACAGCTAACCACAATGGAGTGCGGCTGTCGCGCCAGCCGATCCACCTCTTCTATGGATATCTGATCAATCTTATTATACACATAAAGGCAAGGTAGATAGACACGATTGGCCGTGACCACATCAATGAACTCATCCTCTGTGCAATCCTCGCGAAACAGCACCTCCGCATTGAAGATCTTGAATGAGTGGAGAATCATTTGCACCATTTTCTCGCTGCAGCGCGTCAGCGCGCAGGTGGAATTAAAGCTCAGGCCGCCGCCCTTTTTCTGTTTAAAGTAAATATTGGGCTTGCGCTTGTTCAGGCGTATGCCCACCGATTCCAGCTCACGTTCGAGCAGCTCGCGATGGACATTCGGCTTGGTGGCGTCCAGCATCATCAGCACCAGGTCAGCGGTGCGTGCCACAGCAATGACCTGACGACCACGACCCTTGCCCTGGGCGGCGCCCTCGATGATACCCGGCAAATCGAGCAGCTGTATGTTTGCACCCTGGTACTCAATCACGCCGGGTATGCATGTCAGCGTGGTGAACTCGTAGTTGGCTACGAAATGTAAGAGTTGCTGTCAATTATTTGGGTTACTGGTGCCACGCCCTGCTCACCTGCTTCCGATTCGGTTTTGGTGAGTGTCGACAACATGGTGGATTTGCCCACACTGGGGAAACCAATGAGCGCCACACGCGCATCTCCGCTCTTGAGCACATCGAATCCTTCACCCTTCTCGCCCTTCTTCGACGGCTCCAGCAGTTGCGAGCGATACTTGGCTAATTTGGCTTTCAATAGGCCCAAATGGTATTCAGTGGCTGCAAAATGGATTGGCAACTAAATTCTAACCCTAAATTCCGATACCTGGCAACGCCATTGCCAGCACTGCGAATTCCGACGCCGCGTTGTCTACGCCGGTGCTTGCAGTCAACCTACCTTTGTTCTTTTGTGTGCGCGCAATTTCGCGCTCGATCTCCGCAATCTTCTCTAGAATGCCCATAATGTTGCTTGTCTGTGTGTTGGGCGCAGCATTAAGTTAATAATAATATTTCGGCAGCTACTGCGCTCTTATTGTTGTTTTAAAGTTGGACTTTTTAGTGCTAAACAAGGCATGCATAAAGGCATCGATATCTTCAACTATCGATATATGTGCGTGAAACAAGTCACAGGGTTTTTAGCTGAAAAAATTAAATGGAATTTGATACAATTACTTAACACATTTAAAATTAATTAATATTGATATTTTATATAATAAATGTCTCTAATTACCTTGAGAAAGACTGAAATATATCGACACATATCGATTCCTTTTGCGATACCTTCCATTCGAGTGCTGCAGAGCTGTCACCTGTTTTAATCTGTGCCTACTTACGGCGCGCATACAAACGCCTTCGCTAAGTTTAAATATTTAATTGTAGTTTAAAAAATCATAAAATATACACAAATACACATGTAAATACTGTTACAATTACAATAAACAGCCACACACGCAAATGACATTCGATTAATTACAATAGTCGTAGTAGAGAAAGAGTTTTTTAGTTGGATAGACTTAGTTTTAATTGGCATAATAGCCATTGCCATCATTGCCCATGAACTCAGTCCAGCGTTGTGCTTCAATTGGATCCAGCTCAGAGCACACCTCGCCCGGCTGCAGCGTGCGGCAGGTGCATGTAATGCCAATTCGTGTAATTATCAGCTGTGCCTCATATTTGGGCAACGCGGGATCCGCGTCAACGAGCCGCTCGCTCAGGCACTGCTTGAGGAATTGCTTGCGCAGCACGCGCAAATTGTCGGCGGTATAGCCTGCAGGAGAAATATTAAAAATATATACATATACATTATAAAGAAGTTCTACGCACTTTTATAGGCGCTGATCTTTTCCTCGACACAGCTGAGATCCTGCGGCGAGAACAACGGTGGATACGCCTCGGATTCGCGTATGTTGAGCACAAAGGCAAAGTCTAGCGAAGAGCTGACATTGCCCAGCGCCTTGAGCAACACGCCCGTCGACGAAATAGATGCCAAATACCAGTCCTCTGCTGGTGCATCCACTGGCGTCGCTGTCGAATCCTCGCTAGCATTATTGCTGGTAGTGGAAGCACTGCTACTGGTGCTGCTGGCAGAGGCTGGCTCATTACGTCGCTGTCGCTTGCGTCTGCGATACTGCGACTGTCTCGTGGAACTGGTTACCGCTGCCGCAGCTGCTGCATCCGCTGCCTGCTCCTGCGCCTCATTGTCCAGCTCCAGATCCCACAGGCTGAGCGGCGACTGTGCGGACAACGGCTGGCTGGTGGAGGTGCTGCTGGGGGTGCTGGTGGTGCTGCTCGACTCAAGTCTGCCGCTGCGCACATCCCGATTGCTCCCACTGGGATATTTGCTGCGTAGATGTATGGGCCGCTCGTTCTGCTCCGCCAGCTGCGGCAGCTCATCATTGTACACTAGCTCATACTCCTCTGGCAGACGCATGGCATTGGGGTTTTCTACTGCCCCTGGCTCATAGTCCTTCTGTGCGTTGTGGAACAGGCATGTCATAAGGTTTCTTTTTTGGATTAGTGCTTAAGACTTACAAATTCTTTGTAGGGCTCCTTGATGTATCCACCAGCAAAGCTGGGCAACTCGTTCTCCGGCAACAGCTCTGGCAGCGGATGCTTGTGATGCTGTTTTGTGTACTTGACCGGACCAGGCGGCTGCTCCTGCTGCTGATCGGCTCCATCTATGGCGGCCTGCCTCAGCAGTTGCTCCCGATTGGCCAGCAGCTTCTTGAGCAGCTTGGGATGCTTGAGCGGCGACTTTTTGCCCGCCGGCGCCGGTCGCTGTGTGCGATTCAGATGCACCTCGAGATCATCTGTGCTAAACAGCACAGCGCCCGGCGGCTCAATGTGCCGGGCAATGGCAAACAGCTTCAGCACCATGGACTCGTTATAGCGTAGCCGACAGGTGTCCGCCCGTGCCTGCAAAATGATGTCGCTGTCCGGCACAAACTCGTAAGCATCTCTTGCATTCGGCCTGTTGCGGCACTGCAGCTGCCAGTGCAGAAAGAAATCGCCGCCAAAGCTTTGCGAGATGGAGACGCCACCGAGCAAACTGCTTGCGCCGCCCGCATCCGTCATCGTGGCATCAAGCAGCGGCTGCCCAGTGCGTCCGTCTAGTATCGTTGTCTGCGAGTAATAGTAGACAGGAAAACCTGGACCCGTATTATACTTGACCATAAAATCCGTGACATTATCGCGATCAAAGTGCCCGGGCACAATGGCGCTTACACATTCGCTGGCCGGGAACGTATAGTTCCAGAGCATCCCATAGGTGTGTCCATCGTAGGCATAGACGCTGCTATTGAAGGCGGCCACCACGATATCCGAGATGCCATCGCCATTCAGATCGCTGAGCACGGCAGGCACCATCAGACCAGAGCTCGTCTGCTGATGCAGTGGGATGAAATGCTTCTCGCTGGTGTGCGCCATCAACGTGAGCAGCCGCAGACTGTAAATGCCGCCCGGCGTATTCTGCCCGCCGGTCAACATGAGCAGCAGCTCGGTGCCGTCGGCCTGGGTCAGCAGCTGTATAGGCACAAACATCTCCTCGCGATGCGGCGTGGGTATGCTGCGCAGCACCTTTCCCGTTTTGCCTGAGATAAGCTTTATGTGGCCCGCTTTGGACTCCTCGCGCTCCTCCAAGTGTGCGGCTATCAGTTCGGGCACCTCATCGCCATCCAGGTCGCGTAGCACATTGATCGTGTACAGATCCATGACAATGGGCGAGTTGGTCTCCACCTCCAGTTCGTGAAAGTTCCATATGACCTGACCAGTGCGTCCATTAATGGCAAATATCATCTGCAAATATGAAATAAAAAATAATTAAAAGTCGGCGAATCGATTAGCTGGCCAAGCTTACGCCCAGTCGTCCCGCCGCCAAACAATCGATGCCACCATCTCGGTCTACGTCCGCATTACAGTGCAGCGAGAACACATTCGCCACACTCCACGTTTGCCACAATAGGGAACCATCGCGTCCATTGAGCGCCACGACGCCACCCTCGCAGGGCACATCATCGCCCTGCTGGGCCGATTTGCAGCGTGGCAGCGGTATGCCCTCGTAGTGTATGTTGTCGTCGACGCCATAGCCAAAGATTACATCCCGGATACCATCCCCATTCAGATCGGCTGCTCGCAACGGACTCTCACTGTTCATTCTGGGCAGACTGCGTGTCCACAGTCGCTGTACGCTGATCTGTGTGCAGGGCACGAACTCGCTGCCCAGACTGCTGCCATAGCTGCTGCCCGCAGCGGACAGGGCCGCCAGCTGCGCATCCTCGCCCCACCAGTGATGGATGCGCTGCACGGGCAGCGGGAATAGCGTCAGCATCAATGCCGCCAAACTCAACAGCGCACAGAGCACGGTGAGCGCGGCAAGGCCATAGCAGAAGGGCTCACACCAACGGCAGCAGCGTCGTCGCTTGTGCTGCTTCATGATCGGCGTGGAGCTGTTCCCAGAGCCGGAGCTATTCTTGCGACGCGGCGCCATCAGTGGACGCTTCAGGCCCTGCTCTTCGCTGCGCTGTAATAGGAATTTGGTTTAGAAATTAAATAAAGTTCATCAATCGCGTGTCTTTCGAAATGCGATTTCTTTTTCAATTTCGCCTAGCGAAATCAACGCGAATGTTCTCGTATTCAATTAAAACTTAATTGCGCGTCATTTTCTTGCCACTTCAGCCAAAATTCAATTCTATGCATTCTCGTAAACATATTCGCACAGATTTCGTCTCAATTTCGCCAATGTCTATTAAATTAATTTATCACTACTTATGACTAAATCAAATCGATAAAATCCATGTAGTAAGTCATAAGTGAAATTAAAAAATTTTAGATGGAACTAAATGAAAACAAAAAAAAAAAAACATAAAAGCGATTTTAATATAAACATTTAAATAAATGGATATGTATATAAATATATTTTTCACGTAAAAATTCTCTGATGTCCTAAGTAGTTTTCTGGAACTACCACCGAAAGTGAAATAAAAGTGAAAGTATATTTAAGCGCAATTCTAAAGAAAGTATATTTAAACACAATGATAAAAATGAAATAGAAATGCAAGTGAAAAGTCTCTGAAAAATTCTTTAGCGTTTCAGTTTTCTGGAACTAGCACGGAAAGAGAAAAAAAAGCGAAAGTAAATTTGAGAACAATTTTTATATAATAAAATAATTTTCTTGCACATAATATTCACTCATCTGATATAAATAGTATATATTATTTACCCACCTTAATAGTAAATCTGTGACTCACCTTTGCAGATCTGGCGTCCTTGATGAACACCTCATCGTCAACATCATCGCTGATGTCCTCATCAATTGAGGAGTCCCGTATGGCGATGCGCTTGGAGGGCACATATGGTCGCAGTTTGATCATGTTGGGCCACGCTTCCAAGTTGCCAGCGCCCAGCGCCTTTGCCTGTTTGCCAAGCGTTGCCTATGAATAATATAAATTATTTTTCTACTATTATAATTTTTTACAGCTTTGTTTAATGCATTTTCTTTGGGTGTGCGTGTGTTGCTCTTCTTTTTTTTTTTGGTAAATGCAGCTCAGCGATGCGCGTCTTTGGGCCGTGTAAAAATCAATAGCGACGTCACGGCGCAGCGCTCAGCTGACATGTGAGTGGGATCGACGCATGCGCCTTGAACCCAAACGAGAGCCTTCCACCCCCAGCAGGGGGCAGCTAGCACCCAGCTGCAGAACGCACACGTGCTGCCGCAACATCGGCTACAGGTTTGTTTATCAACAATGGCGACAATGACGCACTTCTCGTTGTTCTCCACCTGAGCAACTGTTGCTTCGGCTGCCCGTCGCCGACCCCCCCTAGGGGTGGTACAAGCCCTAGACGAGCACGGGCACAACTCCCTTATTAACCACCATTTCAAAGGGCGGTTCAATGGCCTCGCTTGGCGCTTTCATGAATGAGCAGCCTCCACACAGGGAGTTGGAGGTGGGTTTAGGGGCAAGTTTTAGCGGCTGCTGTAACATTCCATTCAACAAACTTCCGCATGCATTCGTGCAATGTGGGTCACAAGGCTTCAATTTTTGTTGTTTGTTGTTCAGGCATGACTTATTTATTTTTGCATAGATTTGCAGTTTTGTTTGAATACCAGCTCGGAGCTTACCTGAAATATCAGCGCAAAAGCCATGTCTTAAAGCGTTTTATTTGCCACGACCTTCGTTTAGTTTTACGTATAATCTTTGCTGGCCCAAAGTCATAACTCAAAGTTATTCTAAAGCGTCAAAAAATTCATAGAATTTATTTTTCATTTTCAATGACGTAATGCTTGTCAAAAAAAAGGAGAAGTAACCCCCACAACAAGTGTAAAAAACTATTCAAACTAAAAGCGCGCCAAAAAAAAAAAAAAACAGAAAAAACCTTTACAGCAGCTGCCACGCTCTGCACCGCACCGGCAGCTGCCATCAGCAGAAACTTAAGAGGACTACTTGCGGCGGGGCGGAGGTGGGCGGGGTCTGGCTGTGCTTTAGTTGAAAAGCGTCTCTCTACAGGCTGTGTGGCAAGTACTTGGGTCAGGTCCAAAAGCAGCGCCAAGCTCGACTGCATTCGAATAAACTATAGAAAAATCAGCGGCTTTTTATAGCACAGTATAGAAGTGGGGGGAGGTGGAAAATCTACGGCAAATAACTTAAGTGTGTGTTATTATCGCATCAGAGATAATTTAATAACGATGACGAGTTGTTGTTGCTGTTGCTGTTGCTGTTGCTGTTGCGGCTAAGGAAGGCCAAAGGATGTGTTGCTCAAGTGTTTGCGGCAAGGCGTTGAGTGCTTCGGCCTGTGGGCGTGCCAAAAGGCCGCATGCATAGGTTGAGGCATCGAACAAAAGTATATGTATAAATATATATATATATTTACAACTATGTGTGTGGCAGGCTGCTTCAAGGTTAGCTTGGCCCTCACAGGTGAGGACAGGGCTGAGTTTTAATTATAACTTTTAATAGACACCTCACTAGATTGAGCCCTATGTCTCGGCCACTTAATTTAATTACTATTTTTTAGAAAACTAATTATTTGCAGTTTAATATCTAACATATGGCTGTCTATCTCTCTATCTATCTCTTTCACTCGTTCTTGCTTTTCAATCATCTTATGCCTTCATTATTGCTCACGTTTTTGGTGTTTCATTTTACAAGACTTTTTCAAGTTTTTCACTATTTCAAAGTGAAGCTGCTCCGCGTCATAGTCCATAAACCTTTAAATGACATTTTTAGCCATTTACCACGATTTTCACTCTTACATTCTTTCTTTTACACTCGTTTACTGCGACGTCTCTGTCAATTTTCCCTTCTTCCCCTTTTCCTCCTAATCATTCTCTCTCTTCTAGCTTTTTCTCCCATTACTGCCTCGCGCTCTTATTCCTTTAATTTACAGATGCTCTCTCCCTATCCTTATTATTCAGGTACTCTCTAATTTACAGTCGATTTTCATGTTTTCAACAAAGGATTTCAGATTGGTTTTGTAAAATTGATTTTTTTCCCCTTCACTTAAGCGTTCTCTCTTTCTCTCGTTCTTTCTATTTCATTCTCTTTCTCTCTCGTTACCCATGTCACTTCATTTCTCATTCATATATATTTAATATATATCTTTAATTATATATATCTTAATATATATATCTTAATCTCTCTTTCCCTGAAATAGATTATTATATTGACATTTGTGTCTGCTTTCTTATTAAATCTCACTCATCTCTCTCTCTTTTTTTTTCTCTATCTCTCTCTCGCTCTCTATCTACATATCTTTTTCTCTCGGCCAGTGTTATCTCTCTTTCCCTCTCTATGTCTTCATTTGGATCTCTCTGTGCCTCAATATTTTTCATTATTTAACTTAAATTTATATTTAAATTTAAATTTGCAGTTACCTTCATATTCCTGGAGAAAGCAGCATACTAGGTTCAATTTTCAATGATCCGATAAATAAGTTGATTTGTTTTAAATTTTTTCCGATGCCCAAGTTCGGTTTGACGTCAGCAGGTTCATTGGATTATCATAAAATACCATTCCATTAGCAGCCATTTCGAATCTGTGCTTAACCTTCTCCGCTGCAGGCAGCTGCAACGAAATAGAAAAAAACAACAAGTTACAATGCCCAACTGAGCGATACCCTAATTCCAGCGCCGAGCTAAAGATATAAGTGTGCAAAATTCCTTCTAAGTATATATCCAGGCACAAAACACAAATACACATTCACACTGGATTCACACACGATTGTATGTTTGGGAAGTGCATTCTTAAATTTCTTCGGTGCTTATAGTCCGATTTACAAATATTAAGTAATTTAATATGGTGTACCAAGGTCTAGGGAAGTGCCTTCAAACATTTATTGATATCGACACATAGATTCATACGGACAGACGAGCAGGCTATATATATTAATCTGCCTTTAGAAATATGCACGAAAACATTATACCCTATTTACCCGTTTGCAATGGGTATTAGTAATCATTGTTGTTGTTGTTGCTGCTGCTGCTACTGAGCAAGCCACTTGAGTTGTCGGCTTGTTTCGTGGCAACTAACAAGCCAATTGATTGGAAAAACTAAAGCAACATTTTTCACATTTTTCACGTTGGGGGACAGTTTTTTGCGCGTGATTTTTGTTCACTTGGGAGTCCAAAGGCAATCAATAGGCAGCAGTGCAGCTGAACGTAGAGAAAACTGGCTAAAAGAGGGTAAGGTAAGGGGGGCGGGGTGGTGCATAGAGGGACCCTGGCTCATCATTACAATGACGATGACGACAGAGGCACGAGCTCAGATTATGTGGAAAGGCAATGCCAAAGCACTTGACGAAATTATGTTAAGTGACTATGGCAAGACAAACACACACAGACAATCGCACTATATATATGTGTGTATATGTATATAGACGTACAGCACACATACATGCGCATATATTGTATACTACTGGCTCAAGAATAGTCTGTATTTAAGAGTTTTCCTAGTTTTCCTGGCTGCTGCCGTATGATGTTCTCTCAGGGCTTTCACTTTTCTAGCGTCATATAGTCTCCATTGCACATACACGCACACATACACAGACACGCACACAGCAGCCCAGAGACTGCTGTCAGTGCATCCTTGTATCCTGCATCCTGCGCCTTCGTTGGTGAACATTTTTGTGCTTTGCTCGCCTGGCAACGTTTTAAATTCAAATCGTGTTCGCCACCAACCGTCAGTTGTCAGCGACACTACGAACTGCAAAGACGTTTCAAATCGGCGAAACATAAAACCGAATCCAAATGCATTAAATAACTTAAAATTAAAGTGTTGCAAATTGACAAATTAACAAATTAATCCAAATAAATATATATACAAAATTGTACTTGAAAAAAAAAAAACAATTTTAATTAAACAAATTTCCTGAAATTTTACTAAATGATCTGCAAAATGTCTGTTGCATCGTCTAGCTGATGTTATATAATCGTTGTGAGAATTTTAAATTCTGTGAACAGCATCAATTCTTCTATCTGAGGCAGTTTTAAGTCACACAAAAAGTAAAATACTTTTAAAAACGAGAAGTATTTAAGTTATCAAAGCATAAGAAATTACATGTTTATAGACTGAGTTTGACTGGCAGGATTTCATGTTAAAACATTTTTAATTAAACAAAAAATATTGAGAACCTCAGCACCGTAATTTCAACATATCAACGCCTGTTTAGTATTTTTTTTTTAAATCATTTCAAAATATTTCTATTATAATATTGTTCAAAGATTTTTTCAAAATTCCCAAATTTGTTTCTTTTATATGGTTTTGAAATAACCAGCTATTACTACGAAAAATTCTCAATTTATGATCAGGTTATCTTTTGATAAATATGCTTCTTGTAAGATTGCATGGAATCAATTATTAGGAAATCAGTTTATCCTCCGGAAAATTCGTCAAGGCTTGCCCTAAGAAATAAAACTTAGTATTAATATATAATTCATATATTTTTGTATAAATATATATCTTATATTAATCAATAAATGTTCCTTTCGGCTACAGGTTTTTCCTCCTAATTGTACTTCTTATGTGAAAATAGATATTAATAATGAATAAATATTTATAACCTTAGGAGTTTTAGAGGTTAAAAAATATTTCATCAGTATAAACTGAATTTGAGACATTAAGTGCCGTAAATTGAATCACAAATGGATATCATGGAAAATAGTCAAATTATTTTTCTTAATTAAATTTATATACTGCTTAAAAGTCTATTAAATAATCGGGATCTTTGTTTATGTCAGGCTCCATTTAAATAATAATTGAGGTAAATCGAGCATGTTGGCCTAATTACGCATGAGGAATACCAATTCCCCAGTTCGTAAACCATGGCGTCTTGTAGACGAGCACAATCTGCCTACCTTAATTTACCATATGCATTGTCCTTGTCAAATGCGTCCGTTGCATTGGCTGCCTTCAAGCCGCCGCCGTGTGGCGCTCAATGGGGCACATTCTGTGCGGCATCGGCAGCGCACAAAAGGCGCATGGGCCACTTAGAGCGGCAGCGCTCCGAGAACCGCCTTTGCCCCTCCAACAGCTAACCACAAGCCACAAACCGCCCACGCGCTCGCTTCGAGTGGCTTTAATTGTGAATTAAGACGGTATTGTGGCCCCCACGTGTAGACAGAGCGAGGCAGAGTGGCAGAAAGAGAGAGAGATAGAGAGGGGGAGAGAGAGACAGGTAGTCGGGCTGACAGGGTTGCCAATGCCGAGGCTATTGTGCAGGAAGTGCACTAACTGTCCCCGCCATTGTCCTTTAGTTCACATTTTATTTACACCGTTAAGCAGCGTAATTGTCGCTATTTTCGTGCGCCAGCTAAGAAGAAACCCTCTCGATGCATTTTCAATGCCAGAGACACTGTTCGAGAGTTTTGCTTTGATCCGCCGCAAAGGTTATGTCAGGGCCATCAATCAACCCATTGAAACTATTTAAATACTCATGATATCTTTTCTTACCTTCTGTACGCGTTGCAGAGAGCGATACAATTTACAGCCATGGTCGCGCAAATAATTCTGCTCGTCATTTGCTGCATTTGCCTGAAACACTTTGCTAAGGGTGAATTTCAGTGAGTATACGAAAACACGCCCATCTGAAGGAGTCGATCTGAAACTCGTTTAACTTTAGACAAAGTCTGGCTATAACCGATATCTTACCTGAGGACATCAAACGCTATGACAAAATGCGCCCACCCAAGAAGGAGGGTCAGCCTACGATTGTCTATTTTCATGTCACAGTCATGGGTCTCGATTCT